AACACCCGGCCTAGCCCAATTGTCGTTCTAGTTTTTTTTGTACTCGCAGAGATGGCTTGAAAATTTTAAAAGGAATAATTTGTATGGAAAATTTGCATAAAACTATACTACATTGCTGTAGCTCAATAGAATCAGGTTTTTTTTTAACGTGCAGTTCTACACAAAATGTGTAGTTCTAAATCAATTTGTGCAATTCTAAAACAAAAACTGTGCAGTTGAAAAAAATATTGGCGACCTTTCAATATCTAAATACAAATGGATTACATACAGCTTCAATAACATAAGCAGTATACCAGAATATTTATTTCAGTTTTTATAGTAAATTTTGGCAATAACGAAAATGTTTTCATTTTTTTCTTTGCTTTTTAACCTACAAAATTCTCTTCGGTTTTCGAAACTTCCAAAAATATTCCCTCCCATGAATGATTTATAACACTGAATCTACAAATTTAATCTGCAAATGCAAGATGTGCAGTTCTAAATTTTTCTTAAAAAAAACCCTGAATAGAATGAGTTAATATAATATACATCTGAAACCACATCTTGGAAAACCTATTCATTACTGCAGTCAGCGCGGAAACGAAACGACAACAAAAACGCAGAATAACCAAAGAATCATAATAAATTTATTATTGAGACGCGACAAATGTTATACACCTGCTTTGAAGCATGCAGGTAGGCACTTAATTTGAAAAAACGCGTATATTTGTCATATCCTCACTATACTTTCGGTTATTTTATCACGAAGCAAGCAGTAGGAATTGTGAAGAAATTTTTCGGAAGGTTTTTGCACCTTATATTTCCCTAGTTTCATAAAATGATTAAATTTTGAAAAAAAAAATAAAATAACGTAGATATACGGATGAATAGAGGAAATCGATCGTTTGTATCGTTTGAAAAATCCTTATGAATAATGATGACGCATCGCTACATATAACTTGTCTTTCATGCCATAATCAAGTTGTGCAATATAGTTTACGTAATTGGACATCATTTTCGACAATCCAGAGATATATGTTCAAGAATTAATAATTATTATTGTTTCAAAAGAAAGCGGCGATGGCAAATACTTCAAGCACGTTTGTAAATCTCTCCAATGGTATTCTCATACCTTCCGTTGTATTTAAACTTTTCGCGATGATTATTGGTGTCTTAGGGAATACTTCAGTCATAATTTACACAATTTTACAGAGTGAAGAAAAAGCAGCGTCATCACTCTTGGTAGAAAACTTGGCATTGGCGGATCTTCTCGTGTGCGTTACATTTTATCCGATTTGGATCATCGAGTTTATTCAGACTATATTGAACATTGAGAGCGATCAAGAATTGTTTTGTAAGTTAAGTCGTTCAACGATCTGGTCTTTGCTGTTTGCTTCAGTGGCGACACTCCTCGGAATTACTGTTGATCGTTATTTATATATCGTGAAACCTCTGAAATATCCTATGATTGTGACACGTCGACGAATCTTGCTGGCAATTTCTGGAATATGGTTAACTGCTTGCTGTGTTTTCACTATTTTCTTTGTTCACTATACAAAATATAACATTCACAGACTAAGAGGTCTATGTCACATAAATGAACTTTTTCATGATTTCGTGGATTTTTCGCTTCTCTATACATCAATGGCTTTCATCTTCGAATTTCCGAATCACCGTGTCACGGAGACAACGCAATCGTGCGTTGGAGAAAACCATGGCAATTGGAGTCAACAAAAAAAACGAGAATTTGAGTGCATAATGAAGACTTCACTTCGTGTTTTTCGTGCATTGAAAGTCGCTAAAACATTTTTTATTGTTGTTATTGTGCTTGCAATCTGTTGCTTTTTACCAACAGTTATTGAGACAAACATCAGCAAACGGTGTAGTGATTCGTGCCAGCAAGTTTGGTTTGTAGTACTTCATTATGAATTTTACGAAATAAACTCTATCGTAAACGCTCTCATTTTATGGAATTAGGCATGTCAAACACAGAAAAGCTTACGGTGCAACTCCTGTTAAATTACTTATATATAAAGTATTTCCATCGTAAACAGAAATTGAATTAAGGTTTCTCTCCAAGCGATTTTCAGTACACCTCATATGATGAGCTATACTCAAGCTTATACGACATGTGACCCGAGAGAATCCTTTTTCCCTATACATCTAAAAGTTTTAATCCCTTTCCTAGTGGGTTAACCCCCCAGTCCAAGTACAGTTAGAGCAAAATCCATTTTTCTAGTCGGAAACAAAGATTCCCACTTCATCCTTTAACGACTCTCTGTTAACAGCCCCTTAAAAAAAACATAAATAGAAACTTAATGTACGTGGGAACTGACTTCCTTAAGACATGTGCCAAATTTTTTTCGAGGCTGTTGGATTGGAAACAATAGAAATTTGCAAAGATATACAAACTGTTTTGGAAAGTCGTTACGATAATTTCATACCGCTCTACCTCGCGGAAAATGGGCGAGCTGACTGGGTAACGGCCATGTTTAAATTTTTCTTCAATGTCAACCAGCCAATGCGATCGCCTACTTGCTTATGACGTTTGCCAGGATGATAGCTAGGATCTTGAATGCTTCTCAAAGAAAGTATTTTTACAAAACTTTTTTTTCGGATTTCTTTCTTACCGAATGCGAATTACGGTAGTCAGTAATTCGTTTAAAAAGCACTTATCCACTGTCAATAACGAACGATGTCTTGATGACCATAATGTTCATTTAAACTTCTATTTTCTCTAAACTTATTGGAGATCTTTTTTATGTCGCGTAATAATTATGTGCTCAAAACCTCGTGCAGTTATATCATCAAACAAAAGTACTAACGTTAAAACGCTAAAAACATTTTGCAAACCCCAAGAGTACCATGTTTACTACATAATCAAAATAATGTGAAGGATTCCTCGGGATACGCCTAGACGAAAATGACACTTGAAGCTACTTCATAGCGGCGCACTATATTTTGAAAAGCTTCGTCGCTTGGTGTTTTGCAAGCATGAACCAAATACTGTTCAAGACATAGTTCACAACATAGAATAAAGCGATAAGAATAAAGCAAAAATAAATGAATTTTGAGTGGTACGTACGCCGAAAAGATTGAACGATTGAATGTTTTGAACGTTTTCCCGCCAAAATACTTGCCATATGAAAAATTCTTCTCTTAACTGACTCTTTTGAGTATAGCTATACATCATATTTTTATGTAGCCCGAACACAGACCTGCGTTTCGCCCGACTTAAAATTTGTGGGAAGAGGCAAAGCAGCTAGAAACGTATGTCTTCGCCTGCGAGGAACAACGCGTTAGCTTCAAAACACCTGCGTGTGTGAAAACAATATTCGCCTTATTTTCATAAGGAGAATATCTTCATAATTATGAATTATTTGACCCCTAGTATACCATAATTTTCCACCATGTCGATCTTTAATATATAGTGTATGAGCGTGGGTTTTTCTACGAGGTGCGTTTGTGGTGGGTGCGACATTAACATAATTATTGACAACTTCTTATTATTAACTATAATTAAGCGAGTATATTATATTTATCGCACTAGAAAAGACTTGTATAACATGCGCTAAAAACTGGAACGGTATTGAATGAAAGTGTAGAGTGAAAATGAAAGCTTACAGTTGGTCTCTATGTTGGATACTGGCAAATATTTCTAACCGAAAACAAGTCTGTAGTGCTTGAACATTGGACATTAAGCTAATATCGCGCAACTTTGTTGTCTTCTAGATCAATAATGCAAGAAAATATATTAAAGAAACCGAACAGTAAAAATATTTTGCACCTGCTTTCGGTAACTCTTATTCTTCACTACAAAAACTATAAGAAGGAAATTTATATTCCATAGGAGGATTAGGAACAGTGATTGGGCATATTATATGGTGCCTACAATATGTCTATTAGAATGTTTTCATGCCCATATTTAACTCGAGACATCGGGCTAATTCCCGCTAACTCTGAACATAAAAATTCGTTAAGATAGAACTACCATCTGCATGGCGCCCGGGTTTGCACCGCTTTGATCTGAGGACATCTGTTTTAGTCCAATATCTGCTCGCTCCCTTCGTTAAATAACCGTTTGTTGAAAGCCACTATTTCATTCTCATTCTGAACTAAAAGAAGCAAGTGCTCATAATTATTATCATCAAAGCTATATATAATTTATATATGGCAGCTTTTAAGTGTCTGGTTGTTTTGGCGGTCGTGTTTCTCGCCATGAATTTGTGTTTGGCAAAACCAAAATGGATGTGGGTTAAAGATGAAGTCGATGAAGACTGGGCAAAAGACAAGCTTCACGATGCTGGAAAAAGGATCGCACGTCTGGAATGCAACCACAAAGACCGGAGATTCTGCTAATTGAAAAATGACTGATCTCACTCCTATAGACATGCAACATACACTCTAAATTTCGAAGTGTCCGACAAACACCAAATAAGTGTAAATACACACAATTTTGGTGTAAATCAGTATGTTACATCCACAAAGTGCAAATTTACCCTTCGAGGTGTATTATTACACCAATATTGTGTTTCCTCAACACCGATTAAGTGTATAGCTAAAGTTTACCTTCTTTGGCGTAAATTTACGCCAAAAGTCGGTAAATAAACACCGTTCTTGTGTAATAAAGCACCACTTTGGTGTAAACATTATCGCTATGATTTTGTGTTGAGTGAGAGCTTGGGCGTGCATGCATTGGAAGCTTTTGTCGGAAAAAAATTGCAAATGGATTATCATTTTTTATATTCCTAAATAACTGGGCAAAGAGTCCCAAGTCAGGAGCAAAAAGCAATTGTTTTCTTAAAATAAGCAAAGCTAATTCCAAAGTCTTGGAAAAATGATTTGTTCTTTGTTTATATCTTTCTTTTCATATTCAGAAGAGATGACGGTTTTGATGCAAACGCGACGGTTTTGACGGTTTTATTTCAACATTCTGAATAAATCCCGTAACGCCGTAACTCGCGCAGAGAAATGTTGATAGGATTGCACCACGCTCTCGATGCATGCCGGGATAGCGTCGCTTCGCAGTTCGCACGACGCACGTTGTTGTTTGTTCCTTTGCAAAGTATAAATCGAGAAGTATTTTGAATGTATATTAAATTTTACTGGACATTATGATACAAGATTGCCTGGAGAAGATCGAGGATATTGTTTTAAAAGTGACTGGGAATCTCAGTCATCTCAGAGGTAAGGTTTTAAAATTATACGCGCAAACAGACGAAAGCTATATATTTTGAATTTCGAATTTGCCGCGTAAACAGTGTACGTATTTAACAGAAATATTCACAGTTTTGCTACTCATTCCCACCAAAAAAAATGAATGATTTATAGAAATATGTTATGCCGTGGTTATACTATAGGTACTATGCCATATTAAGTGTGATATTGATGTAATGATGTTGGCTAAACCATGGTCAAATACATGAATTTATGTTATATATTAAAATATGAACATGAAACTGATTGAAACATCTGCCATAACAGACTTACTCAATCTTAGGATTATGATGTACGGAATCTTAGGATCTACATTAATTTTGATTAAGAATTTGAATGACATAGCTGTTATATTGCCTTTTAAATAATTTTTATATGCATCCTTTATTAGATGGTGGATTAACAAGTGCCAAGTGGTGATGTTTATAAGTCTAAGTCATCTAAGTCTGTAATGAACGAGCAGGAAAGTATGGTAAGTAATGCATTATAAGGAATTGTGCAATGCTGTTGGATTATTCACCAACCATATGGCTCAGTTTTAATTGTATAATAATATAATAATAGCACCAATATGATATATGCCTAAAATACCTGTGTTGTATTTGTATTTTTAAGGTGCCAAGGTCTTTCATTTGATGAAAAATATCAACTTGATATTAGTCAGTGAAACAAGAAAAGAAGCCATTTGACTTGGTTTAAGGAAATAAGGTAAGGAAAAGATCAGTTCAATGTTCATGTGTCATACAAATTGCAAATTCATTGTGTATTAATTTCACCTCCATTATTTGCTTCTTATTTATAAACAATTGGTTATATAGTTAGTTATCATGTAATAGATATATCAAAAATCATTGACAGCTTACCAGATGAACATTTGCTATCTAAATTTTCTAATATGCTTGCTTTTTTGTTTTTTTTAGGAACATGGATTAATTGAGGTAGTACTAGTGTGCGAGAAACTCAGTGGATGAGTGGAAAGTCTCCTCTGTTAATGGTTAATTGGATTCACAGTGTTGCAGAACTTAATTTTCCAGGACAAAAATACTCCAGGTGATCTTATAAATATGCTCATATTTGGGAGGACATATACCAACTTTACAAACAACTAGTCAGTAATCAAAGAGGAACATTGCTCAGGAGTTAATTACTTTAGCTTACGGTATGTGTTAATAACTAATTGAAGACATGCAGTGAGTTTGCATAGTTCTAGATGCACTTGTCTTCTTTCATAAATATTTTTATTCAATTATCTCTGGGTTCATTATACAGGGGCTTAATTTCAATAATTTGAGTTGTTTCAGCTAGTTTCCTAAACTTGCCAATTGGCAATTTTTAATTAAGTCCTTGAAATACTTGTTTTTTTGAGCAAGGTATGCACAAACCTAGCAGTACTTTGAACTATTTCTACATGTAAATATTTAGAATTTATTCATTCATTCATATGGGCACTAAGTAAATAGTTTTAATATTTTGGACTGATAAGGAATAAGAATAATGTATAATTTTGCCTATGTGATATTTCAAAGCCTACTAATAACTTAATTTCATTGCTAGAAATGAAAGAAATGTATAAGTAGGTTAGAGGGCATATTTGTCCATTCAATTTTGTAATTTTTTATGCTTTATTATGTTCCTGCTTATTGTGCTCATAGGTTTTTAAACAAATACATAATTTATTTATCTTTAATAAAATTGTTTGTTCAATATAGAAGTTCACGTCTGTTCATCATGTAACGATCATTACATCAGTGAATGCAGTGGTTATCAAATACACCTTATGGTGTATATTGACCCCATAAAGTATAAATATACACTTTTCGGGGTAAATATACACTTATAGTGTTCCCCCCAACTTGGTGTATAAATACACTCATGGTGTATATTGATACTGTAAAGTGTAAATATACTCCTTACAGTGTAACTATACACTATTCGGTGTACATACAGAGGCAAGAGCATTTACACCAAAATTGGTGTAAATATACCCGGTTGAGTGTATATTGACCTTTAAGAAGGTGTATATTTGCACCTCTTTGGGTGTTTGCAGGGAGGCAGGAATTTACACCTTTTTTGGTGTTTGTACAACACTTGGAGATTTAGAGTGTATACACTGGACTACGTACCTATAAACTTGAATTAAACATGGTCATGATAACTATCTGATAAATGTGTGTAGAAACTTTATCAATAGTATACGCGTATAGTTAACAAAAAAATATAATCACAATTTGAACTAAATGTACTGCACTTAATGATAGTTTTTTTTATTCTGGTTAATAGAATAAAATAAAATGAGCTGAACGGTATCGATGCAAAAGATTAACGTCGTGTAGAAAACTATGGCTTCATTTTGGTAGCCTGACATTAGCGATGGGCGAGGTGGAGTTGGGTGGAGGGGGAGGGGTGTTGTGTTAATTCATTTATTATTGAGTCCTGCCGGACGGATTTCTTTTGTAAGTGCAATAGCTTTCAATAGAAGTAGAAAACTCGCAACATGCATAATAATCATGCATGCATGTATTTCAATTTCAAGCCCGTCGCACACGTGAGCTATTGGCTGAGCTTAATTAAAGACCACGCGTGGCTTTTAGCTCTGCAAGCTACTCGCGAGTGCGCGGATAGCTTTTCGTGAGGAATTCACCTCGAAAGGCGAGTTTCTCACATGTGCGGATGGTTTTCGGGATGAGCTAACTGCCGCGCGAGGTCGTTAGCTCAGCTGATAGCTCTCGTGTGCGGCGAGCTTTAGCCTGGTTTATACGTTACAATTTAGTGTGCAATGCAATTTAAATTATAATATGATAAAAGTTCATTCAGCCTCTTCATCGTCTCATAAATAATTGTTTAAATTGCATTCAATGCGACTAAAATATACGTCGTATAACTGTCGCGTTAACAGGACTAAGGCCCATTATTGTAAGGACAACGTTTTGCATCCGAGATGCAATCGATGCAATCTTTTTCATAGCATCGATTGTCATGCATTCACGGTTCTAAGCACAGCGCCTTTTAACACAGAAGTGCAGATATTGGCAATAGCGAAGCCAACTTGAGAATTCAGTCCTGCTATGCTAATATTCTAGTGCTCATTGACATTGACATTGAAAGCAATCAACTTCTAAAAATATGAATAATTATAAGTTTAAATTTAAATAGCTGGAAATTTCCAGGTCGTTTATGCATGGCAACGAATATTTCGTCAAACAGATGCCGTTGAATAAAAAGCAAGCAAACTGAACAAAAATAACAAAAGTCGCTAATTGGGCTTTCATTGATTTCAATTCGGAATCCTCGGGGTTCTAATATATCGTAATAGCGCAATTATTTGACATAAAACAGCATAATTAATTATTAACTGTCGAGTTAAATATAATTATGGCATATTGTATGATGATTGTTTTCTAAATTCGCAAGTTTAAAAAATTGCTTTGTGGTCTCGGTTCCTTTAGCACAGAAATGATTTTCAGCTACTCTATACATAAGTTTTATACCGTATTCGATCTAATTCGAGTCAATTCTGGGGGTAATCCACTATATATGTTTCCCTTATAGGAATGGGCCATTGCCGCTTTGCAATTAACCCTGGAGCTTAAAGAATTTTATGTCTTTGTATGTATGGGGACATTATGTAGGACACTAAGTTGAGGCCTTTTTTCAGCCACGGCTCTTAGCCTAGTCAAAGTCATTCTCGTCTTCGTTTTGTCCAAAACCATTTTGACTTTGCAAAACAAAAGTTATTTGCGAGGAACACCACCGAAAGAACGAAAAGGCACTTAAAATCTGCTTAAACCACTTAAAATAAGTGGAACCGTATAATTATTAAATTATTCTGCTCAGCACTCCACTTTTCAACATAGAATGAAGCCCAGATATTCGCCCAAAAACAAACTTTCCCGGAATAAAAGCTGTATTAGTACATCTTAATTGGCAAATTGTTTAATTCAGATCGAGCTAGGAGGTATCTTATTTTAGGTAAAAGATTAGAAAATAAACATCAATATTAAGGATGAGTTCTATGCATGCAATATTTCTTGCATAGCGTAATAGGTATAATTATTATTGAAGTCGCATCTTTTCATGTCACAGTTGCGTATTATGTAAATTAACAAGGTAGATGAGTGGATGAAGATCTGGTGAAGTGTTGTTCACTCCCAGGCCAATATGCTTGAGCGAGCCCTATTGTCTTTGGCGTCAGATATATTGGAAGGGAAGGTTAAATTTGCTAATTTTAACGCATTATCGACCAAAATGCTTCTTTTGTGTGTGAAAATTTAATAGCTGCAGATAGCATTTTTAGTAAAGAATTTTGCTGCTTAACTTTCACTCAAAATAAAGTTCTTTTAAATGAAATTATAACAATTAATTAAAATTTGACAAAACGTATTCCTGCGACCTTAGCGCGTTTCGGAAGCGCCAAATAATTATTATATCGCCAAAGCGCGACTTTTCGAGAAATCTTAAGCCGGTTTTCCACTAGCGATGTTTTTCGCGCGAATCGACATTTTACTTTTGTTCCAGAGCTCTCAAATGCAACCATCTGGAACAAATTGCTCAAATACAAAGGAATAAAGTCGCTTCGCGCGAAAAATATCGCTAGTGGAAAACCGGCATTAGGCCTCAAAAAACAAGTCTCATTTTTTGTTGGTTACACTGGTGTAAAAATCAAATTATGTTAACACATTTTTCAGTTACCTGGTTTTATTATCTATATATGCTAGAATAAAGACAATAATCGTTTGCTGCAATACATTTATTCGATTGAATAGAATTGTTATACGATGTCAGTTTTTCCCCCAATGATATTAATAGCCATGCATGCACTATCTAATATTAATAAAGTTTTTAAATATGATCGGTGATATAGTTATTATTTCCTAGTTAATTTAGTCCAAGTTAGTTTTTCCACATGCAGAAATAAGCTCTGTTCCTTTCATTTCCTTGATCCCGCGCAATATATAATATTTTTGTGACCACAACGTTTTCGCTTGAGCCGAGATGCAGTTTCTTTCCCATCATCGCGAAGCATGTCTTTTGCCCAGCCATCATCGACTTCATCTTTGACCCACATCCATTTTGGTTTTGCCAAACACAAGTCAATTGTAAGGAACACCACAGCCAAAGCAATCAAGCACCTAAACGCTGCCATAACGCTGCTCTTCACCTTTAGGTATTACAGGGAATATTTTCTCCTTTCACTTCAGAATCAGAATGGAGTCCGCACCTTAGCTACGTTATAATATAGTACACCGTGTTTGGCATAAGAGGGCCTCGAGAGTAGATATTCGACTAAGCGAAACAGATGTCCTTGATTGAAAAGCTATGACTTGTCAGCTGCCTGTTCATTAATATTTTAGTCATAACAGTGTGAATTAACTCGCATTAGTCAATTGCAAATATTCTATCATACGTTACAGGAAGTAGGCATGTTAAAGTAATAGCATTTTGATAATAAACAATTATTGGATGAGGTTTTTGTGATATGCAGAGTTATCAAGGTCGAGGTAAGCGTTATCGAGCCGAAGGCGAGGCGGATAACGCTTACCGAGACCTTGATAACTCTGCATATCACAAAAACCGAATTCAATAATTGTTTTATTATACATTTGAAGAATAGTAAACATAGTATGAACGAATGAAAAACCTTATTTAATGGCAACATCCAAAAATTCACAATTATTAATACATAAATACATTCAAATGAATACCGCTTATTAACCACCGCAGGCTCACTTGCAGATAACTCAGTTATCTGCTAGCAGATAATTAATTGAATTTTGGTGATTGCGCGATTTATCTGTCAACTATTAGCCAATTAAATTGCTTTTACTACCATAATGTATAATAATAACTATTATGCTAATGCAATCTTGATTGTGAGTGGCTAAAAACCTACAGATAATCCTGAATGTCTTGCCACCTACACGACATTGAAAATTATCCGTAGGTGACGTAATTTTTTTGCCGCTAGTTTGTTGTCAATAATGGCGCATGCTTCCTCTCTAAAAAAGAAATACATAATAAAACAATTATTGAATTCGGTTTTCGAATGATATAGAGAATTATCAAGCCTCAGTTTGCGTTATCCGCCTCAGCTTCGCTTCGGCGAATAACGCAAAATTCGGCTTGATAATTCTCGATATCACACTCAACCTCATCCAAT